GGGCGCGCGAAGCGCGCCCAGAACGGCTAGTAACAAAATAATTTTCTATTTTTCCATTTAAATTGTAGGGAGAAGACTCCTCCTATCTTAGATAGAAGATAATGACGATTTTAATGAGAAGTACTTGCTGAAGGGTAGTGGAAGGAGAGATGCAAAATGTGAATAATTGCCAGGTTTAATTGACAATGAGTCTCCAAAAGATTTTTCACCAACTACGAATATCAGGACAAGCATCAAAAAGTTCTTGTATTTTTAACCTTTTATTATTTAAAAATCATTCATAATTGTGTGTGTTTTTTTTTTTTTTTTTCCTAGGTCTAAGGTTTGCAATGCTAAGTACAAAGATAGCAATGATTTACCTCCTCAAGGACTTTGAAATCAACACATGTGAAAAAACCCAAATTCCTTACAACTATAGTAAATTTTCCATGCTCTTGAAGGCTGAAAAAGGGATCTGGCTGAAGATCAAACCTCTGTGAAAAAAGAATCGTCTTCTATTCTGGCTACAAAGCATATTCTGAAGTACACACCTGTTTAGGATAAATTGCATGTTCTTTCATGGTGAGTCCATGTTGCCTTAAGCTACTTTCTTATCGCTTATTCAAAGCGTTGGCTGAGGGTTGACTTCGAAGATGAAGAGTCTTCTTATCGTACAATGGTCTGAACTCAAGAACACAGTTTACGCCTCTATTGAGTTGGCCAGGTATGGAGATTGGAACGGTAGAATCTTGGGAATACCGGTCGATTGCTCCACACTGTTCGCAATCTCGTTCCACTCAGAAAATTGCTCAAGAGACAACATCTTGCCTATTTTTTTACTTATGCCCGGATGCATACCTAGCCCATTAGTTAGTTTGAATACACAAAATTGCACACGCAAAGGATCTTACAGCAAAAACTCCTGGTTAGAATTTAGGACTTTTTCGAGTGTAGATGCAATCACTTCAACACTCAATTGGTCACTGCGTCTGGAAGGTGTAAAAAGTGGCAACTCTGGATTTTTAGCTCTTTCCAGTCGCTGGAGGCAATGTGTCCCACCAAGATATACTCAAAATTGTCACAAGCATTTCCCCCATTTTTTAAGAAAGTTGAGTATTTTATTATTTTATTATTTGTAGAGTTAGAGGCTCAATAATTGCTTCAATATAACAGTAATTAGACGAAAGAATGTCATCCTTATCAGGTCATTACCACCCATTACCTTAACTGTGGCACCATCGTTTTCTTTGCTGATTACCAAACCGGGGACGAGCTTGCCCTCATAGTTTACTATTACATAAGAATTGACTTGGATCAGATCCCTGTCGACCCCGTCATTTCGTTTCAGGCTGGGCGAAGATGGGGTGTCGACAGCATCAGAGCATCGTAGCAGTATCACAGGTATTCGAAGGGTCTTCGCATTGGGGGAAAGGTTTCACACCAGGTATATTTAGTAGGGATTCTTGGGAATTCTCGACCAATGGAATGTCCGAAAAATCTAAAGCTGCCACGCCGAACAATCGCCTCACACATTTCACAGGACGGTTCTGTTTTGTGGATGTAAATGATGGTGTTGCCATAGTTCTCATGTTTTTGCTGGGTGCTTAACAAGACAAAAGAAAAAGAAAAACCATTGGTAGAAAAGGAAACTTTATAGTCCCACAGAACATAACTAAATCACGGTGTCTACTGAACGGAAAAAATACGGACACACAATACTCAAGCGACTTTTGAACACAAAAAGCGACTCTTTGATGCATATATTTTGAAACGGAATGAACAGAATTTTGAATTTGGTGTTGATGTATTCATAAACAAAGTTAATTTTAAACACAAACTATCGTTCTGCGGTTGGTTCACATTGGATGAAGAATGTAACAGATTCAGAATAGCCAAGAACCGATCACGAGCTATCAATTTAGAAAGAATGTGAATTTGGAGGATAGATCTTGGAGACCAACAGACCTTCATGCGGTTTACCTAAGGGAATAATGGATGCTGATGATCCGCTGAATACAGTAGGCACTGCATTAACATCCAATCTTAATTTTCCTCCTTTATCTGTCTTCAGCATGCTGTCTTCAAAGTGCTTTAAGCAAACCTTGCAGTTGTTGTAAGCGTACAAACAGTCTTGGCTTTCCAGATCATGATGCTTTGTTTTCTCGATCCAAAGAGCTAATCTGGAATTGAAAAAAAAGAAGAAATTAAAGAGTGATGATGATCGTTTGGTGACAAAGAAAAAAAAAAAGAAGAGGGTGTGTTGGAACTAAGAGTTCGAATCTAGATTAGAACTCAAGTTCGCACTATGTTGTCAAAAGTCTTATATAAAAAAAAAAGGACATCGCAGATGTTATCGCATTTCTTTATATTGTGTAATTTGGTTTGATTCAAAAGTTTCTTCGAGGAAGTCATTGAATTTTGCGGTCATTATTTTCTCTATGTTTTTGATGAAAATTCCGCAGTTTTCTTTTAGCATGGTTTCTATGGTATCCTCCATCTTGTTAAAGAAAATCTTTAATTTTTCTGATGATTGTTCTTTATTTATTTTAACTGTTGGTTCTTTCGGTGGGTGTTCATCAGTAACTGTGGGGTTTGATTTTGCTGATTTAGGAGGGCGAGGGGCCTTTCCATTCTCTTCGTTTTGGACGGGTATTTTGTTTGTTTGAATGTTCTTGTTTGGAGTCACTTCTGGTTTTGATTTTGGTTTCGAGATGGGTTTAGCAGCAAACGAGATCTTCTTTTTTGTCTGTGTTATTTGTGTTAGATCTGTTTTCTCTGAATCTGGCTCTGGAGGTGTTTTGTTTCCTTTCATGTTTTTGGTTGAATTGTCCTTTTTCTTTTCGTCATCTTTTTTTGGTTGATCGTAGTTGATTCCCATCTCAAATTCTTTTTCTTGTTCTGAGTCAGTATGAAAGGATTCTTGAGCTATTTTATCCTTCATTCTGGGAGTCGGGGTTGCGGTTCTGACGGTTATTTGGGAGTTTTTCTCGGTTCTAAAAGAAGGTCGTTCTTTCTCAATTTTGCGTTTGAATTTACGTTTCCGAGATGAGGTTGTTATTTCTGGGTCTGAAAACGTCTTATTCAAAACATTGTCTTCTTCGCTGGAGTTTGACGAGAAGTTTTTTCCTCTTCTTTTAAAACCTTGTTCTTCTTTGAGTTCCACATCTTGAATTTCCATGGGTTCCGCAGTCACTTTCTCTTCTTTATCCTTATCAAGAGAGTTTCCTTCTTTTGTTTCAGAGTTCAGAGTTTCTTCGGATTTGTCTCTTGCAGTTTCCATTCTTCTTCTTTTAACTTCGTTTACGATTTCAAAGTTAATGTTTTCTTCTTCTTTATCAAGCTTTCTCGTGTTGGAGGTTTGTTTCTCTGCGGGAATTTTATTTGGATCGGTTTTAAGGTGCATTAGTTGTTCTTGGACAAGTTTGAGTTGTTCCTCTCTGAACGCTTTCGTGTTCATGAGGTTTGCTCTTATTTCGTTCTTTTTTGAAAAAATTTTATTGCCAATTTTTATTTCCTTGGTTCCTTTGTTGTCAATCTCGCAGATCATATCTCTAATCACTTTGATAGATTGGGTTAGAGTTTTTGATCTATATTTGAAAGAGTTCGTTGTTGTCAGTTTTCCTCTCTAATGCGCATGCACGTTGGAGAAAAAATTGAAAGAGATCATAGAAATCTGGCACATATTTCGTCTCAGAGCACTAACACCAACACAGAAACACCAAGCGTTCAGAGTTACGTAAGCATCTCGCACCTTAAAAATCCACAATTTCACCCCAAAAAGGGGTGAGAAACGAAAAAACACAGTTCGATAAGCGTTCAGAAGTCAACAACACATATACCGATACACTTTCAGAGAGCAAAACACTCGAGAGAGGTTAGAAAAGCGTAAAAATCACAGAGCGTTATGAGTTACGGGTCTGGTTGATTTCGCGCGCGGTTGCCAACCTCAAAAAGAAGAAATTAAAGAGTGATGATGATCGTTTGGTGACAAAGAAAAAAAAAAAGAAGAGGGTGTGTTGGAACTAAGAGTTCGAATCTAGATTAGAACTCAAGTTCGCACTATGTCGTCAAAAGTCTTATATAAAAAAAAGGGACATCGCAGATGTTATAGCCAGAAATGTTTTCGGCACCTGTTGTTCTTTGAGTAGGAACAACAAACTACAGAGAGACGTGGATCAAATAAGGGCACTGGAACTTTTTGAGATGAATTCGATTATATTGTCAGAAAATCTGAGCACAAAAATCACATAACAGTTCGGAAAATAAATCACTTAAAAGAAAAGCAAGATGTCGCGAGAGAGGGCACAAAATTATTGAAGGGCGTGAGAGAGAGAGTGTACCTGTACGTTCCATGGGTCTAGATGTTCTGAAAAATTCACAAGAGTTCAGAGAGATAGAATAAGGTGACAGACCTAGATTTTAGGGCAACCCACGCTTATACAGGGTGATCCAAAAGTCCCTTCCACCCCCTCTAACTTTTTACCTAATTCAGATTGATAAAGATTTGAAACTTGGGGGATACTCCTAGGTCAAAGGGAGCTACTTTTTGGCCCCCCTAAAACTTTCAGGGGGGCCCCCTCGGGGGGGCAACGGCCCCCAACTTTAAATTTTCAAATTGGAAGACCCCCTTTGTGATAGCTCGTTCGAAAGAGCATAAAAAAAGAAAACTTTTCGCCCAAACCCGAAGTCAATATCTCAAACCGTTTCAAAATGGCGGCCGG